AGAGGGTATACGGGTTTAGGGTGTTGGGTTGGAGGGTATAGGGTTTAAGGTGTCGGGTTTGGAGGGTATAGGGTTTTATGGAGTTGGGTTTAGAGGGTATAGGGTTTTATGGAGTTGGGTTTAGAGGGTATAGGGTTTTAGGGTGTTGGGTTTGGAGGGTATAGGGTTTTAAGGTGTCGGGTTTGGAGGGTATAGGGTTTTATGGAGTTGGGTTTAGAGGGTGTTGGGTTTAGAGGGTGTTGGGTTTGGAGGGTATAGGGTTTTAGGGTGTTGGGTTTGGAGGGTATAGGGTTTAGGGTTTAGGGTAATAACAGCAGACACAGAATAATTAGGTCAGAAAGACAATTTATTTGAATTGATTAATTAGGTCAGAAAGACAATTTATTTGAAATGACCAAAAAAAATGGGTGGGTAGAAGAACTCGGGAGTTAAATATAATAAACACAGAAAGAAAAAAAGGGAAACCAAACCACTAAAACACACCCAAATCTATTTGAATCCATCGAAAACTCGGTTGGGTAGAAGAACACGCGGGTGAAATACAGCAGACACACATAGCAGCCCAGAAAAAATTGGGCAGCCGAACCCGTAAAACGTACCCGAATTTGTTTGAGTTCACCAGGAATTCGGGTAGGTAGAAGAATTCGGGGATGAGTTCTTTGACATCGGCCGTGTTGTGCCTGCTGGCGCTCTCCCACGCCTCTTTGATCGAGTGGAACATGCGGTCAGGATGGTCAAAGTGCCCGCCCTGTCCAAATATAGATAGGTGCAGTTGTAGGTAGGTACAGTGAGACATAAATAGCCTGAGAATCGAAACACACAGACACGTGGCTGTGTATGAATATATAGGTTGCGTTGTAGACAGCTATGTACGAGTAAATATAAGTTGTTTGCTAACCACTGTGCGCGGTGATAAATAGATAGATGTGGAGAGATCTAAATAGCTTGGAATACGAAGAACACACACATGTGAATATGTATAATTGAACACACACATGTGAATATGTATAATTGAACACACACATGTGAATACGTATAATTGAACACACACATGTGACTAGATATAAATAGCTCTGTTGCGTTGCAGATATGGATGTATGAGTGTACATAAGAAATCGATCAGCCACCTTGTATAGGTATAAATAGAGGACTTGAGTTGAAATAAGAGTGAACTTTTTAAAAAGAATACCATGTAAGGATATATATAGGTGTGATTACATACACATCGAATTATAAGTATATACTACAGATTTGCTACTTGCCTAAAAGTATCGTATGATAATATATGAGTATACATATATATATATATATATATATATATATATATTATTATTTATTTAGTGTATAGAATACATGTGTCGTACGCATATATA